AACTATAGGTCTGTGTGTGAGTCTATGGGTCTCTGTGCGAGTCTGTGGGCCTCTGTGTGAGTCTCTGTGTCTCTGTTTGAGTTTATGGGCCTCTGTGCGAGTCTATGGGCCTATGTGTGTGTCTATGGGTCTCTGTGTGAGTCTATGGGTTTCTGAGGGAATCTATGGGTCTCTGTGTGAATCTATGGGTCTCTGTGTGAGTCTATGGGTCTCTGTAAGTCTCTGGGTCTCTGTGTGAATCTATGGGCCTCTGTGTGAGTCTATGGGTCTCTGTAAGTCTCTGGGTCTCTGTGTGAATCTATGGACCTCTGTGTGAGTCTATGGGTCTCTATGTGAATCTATGGACCGTTGTATGAGTCTATGTATGGTGAACTTCTTTCGCACCGTACGCAACCAACCGTGCTAATCGGAGGTGCGGAGAAAGGACAACAAAGGTTCTGCTTCCGCAGGAGCCGGTGGGGCTTTTGCCACAGTGCAGATACCAAACTTTTTGTCTTTGCGAATGTTAATACTGGTAGGAACCTCTGGTTACACCAGCCCACAGGGGATTATTGTGTCCGTCCGTCGTGCAGGGAGGGGCTGCGTGAAGAGGGGAGGGTGGGGAGGGGCTGGGTGGGGAGGGTGTGGAGGGGCTGGGTGGGAAGGGTGGGGCTGGGTGGGGAGGGGCTGCGTGAAGAGGGGAGGGTGGGGAGGGGCTGGGTGGGGAGGGTGTGGAGGGGCTGGGTGGGAAGGGTGGGGCTGGGTGGGGAGGGGCTGGTCACCCCGTGGTGCCCTTATAAAACTCAACGTTTCACCTACTCACGCCGGCTTGTGCCCGCCCTCACAGTCGGCCATATTTGCGGAATACACCACGCCGCCGTTGACACTGCAGGCCATTGACCGAGCAACCCAACGTTCCTACCAGCTCCCTCCGCAGGAATGTGTTGACCGAGACAACTGACCGCTCACGTGACAAACGTGTACGGGTCAGACAAATCAATCAGGAAATAGGGCCAAGGCCTCCCATTGGTGCAGAGAGGCCTCCACGGTGATTGGTCGGCAGGCGAAGATCGAAAGGGATTGGCGTAAAAGACTTGAAAGGTAAAAAAGGCAAGAAGCGAACGGCGTGACTGAAGAAGGATGGTTGCGAAACGTCGTTGGGGAAGGCTCAGGATTGGCCGAAGGGAAGTGGGGTGATGGAAGCTTCCAGAGATGGGGGGGGGGGGGGGCTTAGGAGGTTACAAAAGGAGACAGCGCGAGGAGAGAGGGGAAGTTGGAGAGGAGACGGAGCTCAATTCTCAAGAAGCAGCCCTGGGCAGCCGTTAGTGCTGTGTCTGAATAAAGGCTCTGAAATGTCGCCGCTTGTGTCGGCGTCACTACACCAATAAGACATTCAGAGCATACTCTTGGTTCTTTCGGTAAAGTCACGTAGGTAAAGAAAAATAAATAAATAAAAACTAAATATAAATAAAAGATAACTTTTTTCAATTAATTTTTTTATCTTTTTTCCTTTTTTTCTTTAACTACGCGACTTTACCGAAAGAAGCAAGAGTATACTACAAATGTAGCTACTTGTGCTGCTAGGGAGCCGTCCATAAATGACGTCACGCACCTAGAGGGTGGGGGGGGGGTCAGACATTTGTGACGATGTGTGACGACGGGGGGGGGAGGGGGGTTTGAGAAATGTGACGTCACATCAAAATGCACAACTTTAAATAAATATAGACAACACGTTCTACTTAATTAAATAGACGCTTTAATAAATGTTTTCTCCTACAACATCAGAGTGCAGCGCCACATTAAATACGCACTACAATGTCAATAGTTTAAAGCGATTTGAAGCATGTTTTATTTTTTTTGGGGGGGGGGGCAGATCTTTGTGACGTCATATATGAGGGGGGGTTTGACTTTTTGTGACGCCGTGTGACGAGAGGGGGGGGGGGGGGGGTCAAAAATCGTCCAAAATCGCGTGACGTCATTTATGGACGGCCCCTAATAGCCACGGCACTGGATTGTATTCTCGTCTATGGGTTTTGTATGCGAGTCTGTGGGTCCCTAAGTAAACCTATATGTGAGTTCATAGGGTCCTTATGTAAGCCTATATACGAGTCTATGGGCCTCTATGTGGGTCTACGGGTCTCTATGTAAATCTATACGTCTGCGTGTAAGTCTATGGGTCTATCTTCTTGGTTTTTTCGGTAAAGTCACGTAGAAGGGAAGTAATAAAATAATAAAAACAAAACATAATAAAATAATTCTCGCGACAGCTTATATATTAGCTCCTAGCTTGGCAGTGTCTCATTCTTCACCTGAAGACGGCTGCTTGCGTTGTAGCCGAAACGTCGTGAGAATTACTTTGTTAGGTTTTATTTTTATTATTTTATTACTTCCCTTCTACGTGACTTTACCGAAAAAACCAAGAAGATGAATCCCTGCAGTCACGAAAGCTTTAAATCGAAATCTATGGGTCTATATGCGAGTCCAAAGGTCACGGTAAATGTGTGGGTCTCTTTATAAATCAGCGGAGCTTCTACACAAATCGACCTTTCTCCATATCAATGCATGGGTCTCAATACAAGTCTATGGGTCTCTATATGAGCCTGTGGGGGTCACGGTAGTGTGTATAGTGGTGGAAACAGCTCCTGGCATCCCCACCCCACCCCCACCCCCCTCTGGGCCCCCACGAGCTGCGACGCAGTTGCACCGCCTGCGCACTCACGAGTCAAGCCACGCTCACTGTGGCAGATGTCTCTACCCGATTCCCCGTGCGCCGTCTCAGCGGCGACGGGGCCATGGCGACAGTGATGGAGGCCGGGGGAGTTCCACCTCGTGGTGGTGGGGGTCACGCACGGGGTGGGATGGTGGGATGGTGGGGTTCATAATGTAGATGTTGCGTGTTGAACTTCTTTCGCACCGTACGTAGTCAATCGTGCTCATCGGAACTGCGGGGGGAGGGACAGCAAACGATGGGTCTCTGTGTGAGTCTGTGGGTCTCTGTGTGAGTCTGTGGGTCTCTGTGTGAGTCTATGGGTCTTTGTGTGAGTCTGTGGGTCTGTGTGAGTCTATGGGTCTCTGTGTGAGTCTTTGGGTCTCTGTGTGAGTCTGTGGGTCTCTGTGTGAGTCTATGGGTCTCTGTGTGAGTCTATGGGTCTCTGTGTAAATCTATGGGTCTATGTGTGAGTCTATGGGTCTCTGTGTGAGTCTGTGGGTCTCTGTGTGAGTCTATGGGTCTCTGTGTGTGTCTATGGGTCTCTGTGCGTCTATGGGTCTCTGTGTGAGTCTATGGGTCTCTGTGAGTCTATGGATCTCTGTGTGAGTCTATGGGTCTCTGTGTGAGTCTATGGGTCTCTGTGTGGGTCTGTGGGTCTCTGTGTGAGTTTAGGGTCAACACACGAAACTCACAACAAGCAGTTCTCAAGAGATGAGTTTGTCAATCTCGACGATGATGATTTAAAAGTGCGCAGCTCCCAGCGGCTTCCTAACATCGGACGGGAAGAGCGTTCCAGACGGACGCAGAAGCAGCGCACCTGCAAGCGCGATGACCGGAGTGTCGCGTGATGATGGTTCACGCTCCTTGACGAAATGACCAAGGTGAAATCATGACGATGACCAGTGATGTGTCAAATGAATCACGGCGTGGAGAGGACCAGTGCAGATGTTTATCACCTGTCACTGATGTGAGCCGGGAGTCGAACTCTCACCGTGCCTGGCTCCGCGTACCCTTGCAGCTATCTCGCCTGGTTCAGCATTTTCTTGCTGTGGTTGTTCCACCTGATGAAGATTGCTTGTGTTGCGACCGAAATGTCGTGATTTATCTTCTTGGTTCTTTCGGTAAAGTCACGTAGAAGGGAAATAATAAAGTAATAAAAATCAAACATTATAAATATTTCTCACGACGTTTCGGCCACAACGCAAGCAGCCGTCCTCAGGTGGAGAACAGGTCTGTCAGAAAGACAGCGTCTGAATGCTTGCTTTGTGTCCGAAACGTCGTGAGAATTATTTTATTATGTTTTATTTTTATTATTTTATTATTTCCCTTCTACGTGACTTTACCGAAAGAACCAAGAAGATGAATCCCTGCAGTCACGAAAGCTTTAAATCGAAATTTTACGTCGTGATTTGTTTGATTTTATTTCTACCTACGTGACTTTACCGAAAGAACCAAAGAGTATGATGATATCTGTAATATATAGACAATGCCGTGCCATGTGAATACGGTTTGCTCGATCGATACCAATCATCACAGGGCACGCTCTGAATGATACTGAGAGATGGCACGAGGAAGGAAGAGCACGTGGATTAGGGGGCAAACGCAAGGCAAAGTCATCACTCGAACTGTTCGAGTGGCCAACACCACGCCCGGTCGTCTTTGTCTCTCCGGTTCGCGATGTTTTACACCACACCGCACCAGGTACTCATTTGAGGCTGAGTCGACCTAGGGGAGGCCCAGGAGCGGCTCAGGTAGTCGCTGTGGTGTTGGTGGTGGTCGTTAGCGGGAATCCATCCCGCGACAATCACCACTGCCCTCAATAATCACATACAGTGCGTTATTCTATTTTACATATGCCACAAAATATTTTAGACATTTCCAAAAAATATATAATTTACTGAACATGTTTGCGCAAATAACGTGCACCGCTTCGTGCTGTAAACAAAAAAAATGCGAATAATCGTTCGAATTCTAATTTTGTGCCCAACATTTGTGCTTCAGCAAGATTTAGTCGCAATTATTCCCGGCATTCTACGCGATATTTTTTGCTGCATCTCCCCGCTCCTCCCCAGCATCATCATGGGCATCTTTAGCTCCACCCAGCACCACCACCATCATCATCACCACCACCACCCACCCACACCACCCACCCACACCACCCCCCCCTCCTCCCATCCCCATCGCGTCTTGCGCAAAGATCCGCCGCACAGCACACCCGGCAGACAGAGAGAGAGACGCAGAGGAGACACGGAGACCCACAGAGTCACGTACAATTATTGTCTTGCAGATAATAATTGTATTTAGGCATCATGTTATATGCGGTTGGAGGTAGCTGATTAATTGCCCGGAAATTGCTTGCGTGTTCATTTATTGTTTTTATATTATTATTTCTACAATATTGCTGTTGTTTTTTTGCAGCGTTTTGGTAGCGTAGAGAGAAGGGTAGGGAGAGAGAGAGGCGAAGACGAGAGGCGCTCACAATGGCTGACGCGTCAGAATGCAGCATCAAGGTGATGTGCAGGATCCGTCCGCTCAACGAATCCGAGAAGGTTCGAGGCGACAAATTCATCCCGAAATTCCAGGGTGACGACACCCTCTCCATCGCGGTGAGGACAGAGCGAGCGCGACGCGACGCGACACGACGCGACACACGGATCGGCAGGGCAGGGCGGGCAGGGCATCCTGCAGGGAGACACAAACCCGCACGGATGGGGCTGAAGGGATTAGGGGGCAGGGGGGGGGGATTGGGGGAGATGGGATGGGTGGGAGAGGGATGGGGAGAGAGATGGGTGGGAGAGAGATGGGGAGAGAGATGGGGAAAGAGATGGGTGGGAGATGGAGAGAGGGATGGGGAGAGAGATGGTAGAGAGAGGGATGGGGAGAGAGATGATGGGAGAGGGATGGGTGGGAGATGGGTGGGTGGGAGATGGGTGGGAGAGAGATGATGGGAGAGAGATGGAGAGAGAGATGGATGGGAGAGGGATTGGGGGATGGATGGGGAGATGCAAGGCGAGATTTATATTTGAGGGCTTGGGAGAGGGATGCAGGGAGATAAACGTACGGGGGGGGGGGGGAGGGGGAGAGATGTGGATGGGGAGTGGGGTGGGAAACGATTTAATGGAAACATGAATGTATGGAGAAATGGGATTGAACAGAGGGATGTTAAAAGGATGGAGACAAACGCGAGAGGGGTGGGGAGGCAAGGAGGGAGGGGGATTGGATAGAGATGCAGAGAAGAGGTAATCAGGGAGGGGAGGGATGTGGGCCGAATGGATGGCTGGATAGGTCGCTAGAGTCGGTGGGGTGGGGGAATGATTCACAGGTGAGTGAATGAATGAAGAGGTGACGTAAAGATGCACAAATGAATGAATCAATGATGGGCTCACTGTAGAGAATGTGGAGGGGGAAACAGGGAGGGATGTAGAGCGGTCGAATTGATGGGTGGGGTGGGGAACGACGCAAGAATGAGCGAATGACGTGGAGGACAAAATGGGATTGATGAATAGTGGTAGGCAGAGAGGATGGATGGATGTGGTGGGCTGGTCAGGGGTACGATGAATCAATGTTTAAAAGAGAGAGTAGATTGATTTATGGGTGCACGAATGAAGGAATGAATGAATGAATGGCCGGAGATGCGGGAGTGAACGTAGAGAGGAACGGATGATGCGGGTGGGGTCCGAGAACGGTGAATGAATTAATGGAGTGACTCGATTGATTTTGGCGTGCAAGGATGAATGAATGAATGAACGAGGGGGTCATTGTCGATACGAGAATGGAGGGAGGGATGTGGAGAGTGTGGACGGCTGGGATGGGGGTGGAGAACGATGAAATGGATGAATATATGAAACAATAAGAGGGGGGATGTCATTGAGAGGGCTGGAGTGAGATGACGAGAGCGAAATGAGCGGATGGATGTGGTGATTGGTAGCGATGCATGAAGGAATCAAACAACGGATGTTGTTAGATTCAACGGAGGCAGTGAGGGAGGGATGAGATGGGCGGGTGGGGAGTGAGGCATCGACTCCGAAATGAACGTTGAGACGGAATTAGCGGGTGAGGGAGGTTGGGGAGTGGTGCATAATTTAATTTTTGATTGGCACGAGTTGATTAAGTTGAAGGGATGTATGTAAATTAGACAGATGGGAGGATTAAAGAGAGAGGTGGGGGTGGGGGGGAGAGAATGAAGAAGGATGGATGAAGAACGGAGGATTGATGCACGGGGAGGAATGAATATATGAATTAGGATAAGGGTGGATGGGGAAAGTGGATTGGGTGGAGGGAGAGAGGTACAGATGATTGTAAATAAGGGAGGGGAGGGAGGGGATGTGCTTTTGCAAGGAATGAATGCATGGACGTAGGGATGCACGAATGAATTAATGAACGAATGAGGATGTCACTGTAGAGATGGGAGGGAGGGGAAACTGGTGGATGGGTGGTAAAAAATGATTTAACGAAATGTTAAAAAAAAAAATTACGAAATGATGAACGAAGCAAAGTGCTGAATACACCGAGCATCTTCTTGTTTCCACTGATCGTTTAAAAAAAAGAGAGAGAGATCGCAATAGGAGAGATGGGGTGGATGCAAACGAGACGGGTGATAGCGATGCACACGTTGAGGGAAAACGGTGAATCGAGAGGCGACGTGGAGGATGGGAGGAGATGGATGGATGGATGGAGGCGGATGGAGATGTCAGCGTAAGGATGGACGCCAATTTAGAGGCAGCGATGGAGGGAGTTAACGTGGCACTTCACGAAGAGAAAATACGGAGGGATAGAGGAAGGAAGGGAGGCTGGGATGGAAGAGAGGGATGGATAAATTAGAGGATGGGGGAGGGTGGATGGTGGATTGGTGAATGGTAGAGGTGGCAAGCGGATTGATGGATGGGTGAGTCGAGGGTGGCTGTACCCGCCACCGTAGCCACCATTAAGCAGAAACGTCACGAGCATCATCATCATCATCACCACCATCACCACCACCCATCATCACCACCACCCATCACCACCCATCATCACCATCATTCACTACCACCATCACCACCCATCACCATCACCACCACCATCATCACCACCACCCATCACCACCCATCATCACCATCATGCACTACCACCATCACCACCCATCACCATCATCACCATCATTCACCACCACCCATCATCACCATCACCACCACCATCACCACCATCACAACCATCACCACCATCACCACCACCCATCACCACCCATCGCCATAACCACCCATCATCACCATCACCACCACCATCATCACCACCACCCACCACCACCCATCATCACCATCATTCACCACCACCATCACCACCCATCACCATCACCACCCATCACCATCACCACCACCATCACCACCCATCATCATCACCACCCATCACCATCACCACCCATCATCACCACCACCACCCACCACCATCACCACCCATAACCACCAACCACCACCACCCATCACTACCACCATCACCACCCATCACCACCCATCATCACCACCACCCACCACCATCACCACCCATCATCATCACCACCCATCACCACCCATCATCACCACCACCCACCACCATGAACACCCATCACCATCACCACCAACCACCACCCATCATTATCACCACCACCACCACCCATCACCACCACCATCACCACCCATCACCACCACTCATCACCACCACCATCACCACCATCACCACCCATCATCACCACCATCACCACCATCACCACCACCATCACCACCCATCACCACCCATCATCACCACCACCCACCACCATCACCACCCATCATCATCACCACCCATCACCACCCATCATCACCACCACCCACCACCATGACACCCATCACCATCACCACCAACCACCACCCATCATTATCACCACCACCACCACCCATCACCACCACCATCACCACCCATCACCACCACTCATCACCACCACCATCACCACCATCACCACCCATCATCACCACCATCACCACCATCACCACCACCATCACCACCCATCACCACCACCACTCATCACCACCACCATCACCACCTATCACCACCACCACCACCCATCACCACCATCACCACCCATCACCACCACCACGACTACCACCAATCACCACCACCATCACCACCCATCACCACCATCACCACCCACCATCACCACCATCACCACCATCACCCATCACCACCACCATCACCACCCATCACCACCATCACCACCATCACCACCCATCATCACCACCATCACCACCACCACCCATCACCACCACCATCACCACTACCACCACTCATCACCACCACCATCACCACCACCACCACCCATCATCACCACCCATCACCACCACCATCACCACCACCACCACCCATCATCACCACCCATCACCACCACCATCACCACCACCACCCACCATCACCACCATCACCACCATCACCATCACCACCCATCATCACCACCATCACCACCATCACCACCCATCACCACCATCACCACCACCACCACCCATCACCATCACCACCCATCATCACCACCACCATCACCACCACGATGTTATACTCGGAGACGACTTCGGATATTCGTTACCGGCGTCGGCTGTGAACGGAAAACGAACCTCGGGTCGCCGGGTTCATAGTGCAACCCGCTCACCGATGCGCCACCGCTCCCCAAACACGTAACAAAGACAAAGATCCCCCGTGTAGCCTTGACAGACTGTTGGGGCAAGTGCTGTTAGCGAGCAGCACCTATGAAGGCCGGCACGGCACACGAGGGGGTGGGTGGCCAGCGACACGCCCGGCCGCCTTTGTCTCCCCAGTGGCGATGTTTACTGCACCCCGCACCAGCTACTCGTTTGAGTCGACAAAGACGACATGCGCACACACGTGGTGTACACAGTTACGTACACACTAGAGCTGAACGATTAATCGATTTCAAATCGAAATCGCAATTTGAAACAATGCGATTATCAAATCGCAAAGGCTGCGATTTTTAGCGATTTCAAAAGTCCTATTACTTATTGGAATTGTTTTATTATTGTATTATTACAACTGTATTTATTTAACTTTACAATTGTTCTATGTTTGATTGTTCTATTTCAATTAAACCATTTTTATAAATACATGTTGGGAGCAATTAATATATTTTAAGTTCTCATCGATGCGTTAGAATATATAGAGCAGTTCATATTGAGATGGTATCATGTGGTAATGCTCCATCACATGTTTTAAATCTATTACACGGTGGATATTGAACTGAAGCTTGACTTTAAAAAATCTAATCGTAAATCAAATCTCGATATCTGTCAGAAAATTCGCAATTAGATATCTTCACCAAATCGTTCAGCCCTAGTACACACACACATACACAACAGCCACCACCACAACAACAACCACCACAACAACGATCGTCGTTCAGCTACTAGGCGACGGTGACGTCACCGCACCACTTAGCGGTGACCTCAGCACGGTGCTTGTGCCAGGCTAAGTGCACTTTAAGGTCACGTGGCAGTGTAGAAGGTGACGGGAGAGGCGTCACCGGCCGGCTGACCGAGATGTCTTGAAGATGCCTCCAGAGATGAAGTGAAAAGTTTAATTTCGATGTAAAGCTTTCGTGACTGCAGGGATTCAT